CCATCTTCGGCGACAAACTCAGTGGTGAGATCTCCAACTCTAGCGTTGGCGCCCAAGAAAACCAGATCAGGGTGCCAGTCGGAGAGCCTCTTAGAAAGATCCTTCCAGAAGGCCGTCGCGAGGTCCTTGGGGCACTTGGAGTGGGGGGCGCGTGCGACGCACGAGTTTAGGACAATCCCAGGGGTCCGCGCAGCAACAAGAAGCAGCCCTGAGGAGGCAAACACAACGCGGAAGATCTTGCGTGCAAAAGACAAGTCGACGCCAGTTCGTTGTCCATAAGGCTCGGTCAAGTTGGCCCCGAGTTCCACCCGAGCCCTTGGCGGCCTTCCCCCTTAGGTGCACCTGGAGACAAGACGAGGAAACCACGGCAGGATCGGATCCCAGATGGGGTCGTGCGTCTCTTGGAGTCCAATAAGATGGGCCTTTTCGGGCTGCAAGCTGGAGCCTGACAAGTTCTTTGCGCCGACGGCGCTTTCTCCTTTTGGTGCCGAAGGCCTCGCGTTAGGACATGGAATTGACGCTGTATTGCACCGTGCAGAGTTTGATGGCTGCCTTGATTGCTTTGGCCCCAGGGACGGTCGGAGTGGGTTTGTCTCGGACATGCGAAACGTCAGCAGTGGGGGGGGGGGCGGCTGGCCCAAACAAACCCAGAGTCAAACTTGATATGCAGCCTGCTCTTGGGGTAGGGCGCGCTTTAGCCATTCCCATTCTCGGCAGCGAGGGCACTCAATGATTTCCAGAAGAAGTGGTGGAACAAAGAGGGGGGAGATCTGCTGCTGATGTCCATAAGGCAACCCGATCAGCAAAATCATCCCATGGATGTCCAGAATGACCCTTGACGTGGAAAAGGGACAAGTCACGGCCCACTCGGGCCAGATCCCAGGGCACTCTTGCTACGAGCCCGAGTCGGCCTAGGTAGGTAGGCCGCTCGCCGTTGAGCGCTGTGACAACGTTCAACGAGTCCGCGTTGATAGTAACTCGCCGTACTTCAGGACCAGCAAGGTTGTTGTCAATGCCCATCTGATTCCCGCGTATTCAGCATCGGTGCTGGTTGTGTGTTCTGGATCCATAGGCGTCCTGCAGGTGTCTCGAAGATAGCCACTGAGGGATCCCTGAAAGGAGATGTCCTCTGAGTCCTCTGCCTAACATGTGAGACCTCATGACGCATTTTCTAACTGGTGATGTTTGATTGAGCCGTCAGTGTAGCAGCGCTTGGAGTGCCATCGTGATGTACGTGCTGGGTGTATGTCTAGTGCAGCTCTAACATTGTCGGGCAGCACCATAGGCTCAACACTATGTCGCCAACGAAGTACGCCATGATGCATGATACTCTTCATCATGTCGGGTATCAGGCCCATGATACAAAAAGAGGTAGCCCATGATGTGGTACCTGAGCTGGTACCAGGCTGTGGCACTTGGTCGCCAGCAGGCATGGGCATGGAGGAACAGCAGGCAGGAGCAGGATCATATGCCTGCGTGTGCGATTCATGTGTGGCTACTGAGCTGCAACTAGATCGAGGGGCGGGGCTCGATTCCACAAATGCATGATCGTCTAAGGGGTTTGCTTCAGCGTGCGAGCAACAGGGGCGGGGCATGCATGTATAGAGTGCGCTCATGTGCGTCTCAGCGTACGCATATCTAACCCTGTCGACTAAGATGTGGAACATTGAGAGCTGCTGTCAACCCAAGAAGCTGGGTTGCTGATGTCTGCGCGTAGCTGGCAGCCCCCGCGCATTGAAATGGAATGTTATTTGTGGCGGCTTACATCGTGCACCACGCGCGCTCGAACGTGAAATCAGCGATCTGATGCAGCTGAGGCCATTTCATGCGACATGCTTCGAGCGGGTAAAGGGGGCAATGCTTGAGGAAGTGAACGAAATCATACCAGGCCCGTGAGCTGCAGTTGTCGCTACGGCTGGAGTCCTTGCTCTTCTTTGGTGTAGACTTATCCCCGCCCTCCTCTCCCTCCTTACCGTCGGTGGCTCTCGAGTCTGTCCTATGCCCAGGCTCGAGACTCGGATGTCTAGTGGCTGGCCCAGCCTTGAAACTAAATGAACTTGCCCCCCCCTCCTCAGAGGTTTTCCGAGCTGTCCTATGCCCAGGCTCAAGACTCGGATGACAGGTGGCATGGTTTGCATTGGAGTTGGAAGAACGTGCACGTACCGCAAATTGGTCCAGGGACGCTTTTTCCAAAGCCCTTGGGAGCGCGTGGCTCAAAGTGAGCCAGGACAATTTTTGACCTGGACGCGTTCTGAGAGGGGACCAACGTGGTTACCCGACGGGGCGCGCACCTCCAGATAAGCTTCATTGACGCAGACTTGCGGCAGGCTTGCTCGTGCACTTGCTTTGAGGCAACCTCTAGGGGGGGAGGGCATGTTCTGAGGAGAACAGAGATGACATTGAGCAGGCCTGCCTGGAGCATAGCTGAGGATGCCCCTGGAGCCCAGCGAACAGAGCGGGTGGCTCGTTCAGTACTTCCTGGACTCCTTCTTTGGCGGGCTGCTGGTGTCTGGATCCTTGTTCGAGCATGCGCGATCGATCTCCTCTACTCTCGACCGCGCCCGAAACTCTGCGAACGGCGAAGCATCTCCTGCTGGGCAGTTCGCTGTAGCCAATGGAGCTGCCGTACTTGATCCGTTCGAAACTCCTGAACTCATTATCTGTCCACTTGTGGCCGACAGCTTGGGAACGTGCATGCACGGGTCCTCCTGTGGATCCGCCATGGGCTGGGTGGATGAAATCGCGTCCATGTGCTGAACCTGAGTCGGATCCTCCTAGATGACGATCGGCTTCGCGATGGGAGTCGGCATGCCACCTATCGGCGCGATGGGCACTGGCGCCGCAACACGGGCAGGAGCCACAGGAGTCGGAGATGGGTGCGCCTTGGGAACCGTCGTCGGAGATGTGATTCTGTTTTGGCTGGCGGCGCGGCATATGGCATTCCGGTCGGTCGACGTCGCGGCTGGCGAGGCTCCTTTGACCAGTGTCGGAGCCGCCGCATGAAAAACGGAGCTATTTTGTCCGTTGGAGCCCGTGGGAGCTCCACCTGCAGCGGTTGGTGGTGCCCCTGCTCCAGGGGGCCCCATGGCAAGGTTGATGACATGAGCCTGCATGGCTGCGATCATATTCCCCATCTGCATCTAATTATCATCAGACTGCTGCTGCTTCGTTACAATGCCTGAAAGAATGTTGAACATTTGCTGATCGCTGGCTGGGACAGTCGGAGGCGGCACCGTCGGCGGTGGTGGTGGGGAGCCCTGCGCGCTGGCAGGAGGCGGCAGCGGTGCTGACGACGATGCGGCCTATACCCCCTTCCATGGGGTGAGCGCCCGCTGGATGTCCACGATTCCCGGGGCCTCGGCGCGTCCATGCGATGCGCCGCAGGCCCAGCGCCACCAACGCATCCGTGCCCTCCTCCACAGTCGGTGACACTTGCTGCTGCTTGATCATCCCCGGTCCAGTCCTCGAGGTCGGATATGGCATGCTTGATCTGAGCTAGCCCCGCGCCGATTGTTTGAATTCCATTATGTATGATGTCAATTTTCTTAAGCAGGCCTGCCTCCCTTATCCTGAGCGCCACTCTCTTTGATGCCAAGGTCATCGATCTGCTTGGTGAACGGCCTTGTGGCTGACAGAAGAAACTTCAGTACACTAATATCCTCAACAGTTTCTTTGGAATCCTTTCCTTGTGATTTGGTCGAGAGGGCGTGCTTCCCAAGTTCCGCGAGTCTTGTCTTGATTCGAGCCTTGTATTCCGTAGTTTCTTTGATGTTAGCGGGGCACTATTCAGAATTCTCTGAGATTTCAGCGTCGGACCTTGGGGCTGGCAGAATCTTGGCAATGTGCTGCTGAACTTCGGTGTTATCTGCATCCTGCTGTGACTGCTTGGGGCGCGTGCGGCTTGGCTGTCTGTTGGGCCTGATTCGGCCTTGCTGATCCTGACAGAAATGAGCTCCACGCGGCTGGTCAAATCGCTGCTGTGCTCCAAACGTGTGTCCGCACAAGCATCCCCAATGATGAGACTTAACATGCCTCCCGCACTTGCTGCAATCCCACTGAACCCCTTGCGCAGCTAATCTCGCGATGGGTCCAGAACTGTGATGGGCTACCAGCGAATCCTTACTCTTTCACGCTTTGAGAAGCAGGCGAGCTCGTGCCCGACGCGCACGTCGAGCTCTGTGCCAGGACTCTTCCTTGGCGGCCGTAGTGGCAGCATGTCGCGGCACGATGCAATATGGCGCATGCACGCGTGAGGTGTGTCCGAGTGGTTTCGTTGAGCAGAAGCGCTCTGGTTCTCTCCAAGGGCGCCAGAAAGTCTCGGACAGAAACACCTTGAGCCAACATGGCTACGGTCCTCCTCCCTCTCCTCCTCCTCCTCCCCCTTCCCCCCCCCTCCCTTTCGCCCTCCCCCTCCTCCTCCTCCTCCTCCTGTCCTCCTCGTCCTCCTCCTCCTTCTCCTCCTCATCCTGTTCCTCCTCTTCCTCCTCCTCTTCCTCCCCCTCCTCTTCCTCCTCCTCCTCCACTTTGCGTTGGGCAAACTTCGGGGGCGCAGCCTGTCCTCCTCGCCCCCCTTCCTCCTCCTCCTCCTCCTCCTCCTCCGTAGCCATTTTGGCTCAAGGTTTTGTGCTTCCCAGGGAAACAAGTGGATGCCGCTAGTCCGCGGCTAGTGTCAGGGCTGTTGCAGCCCGACAGTTCTTTCATACCTGCCACCTCTCAGGCTCGCAGGCGCCTCTGCCCCAGGTCTCAGGGGCTGGTCGATGGCACCATCGGGTCACCAGCAAAATCGCATTCAGAATGCGCATGCGTGGCTCTGCAGGTGGCGCACGAAGGACAAGACGGGCGAGAGATGGTGGAATCGGGCGGATTGCGCGCACTGCAAGGCGCGCTAGCTCGCCAAGGGTGCAGCGTACTTCGGTCCGCGCCCACCAGCAGGGGGCAAAGGGTCGAGCGCTGCGCAGGCCCCTCGGCCCCTTGCTGCCGAGCGCCGCGCCGCCGCCGAGGGAGAGCGACTCAAGAAGGTGGCCGCCGCCAAGGACCGCGAGATCCAGGACCTCAAGAAGCAGCTCGAGGCCTCGAGGCAGACGGGTGGCGGGGCGGCGGCGATGCAGGTCGACAGCTCCGGTGACAAGCCCGTCGGTTCGGAGTCTGACAAGGCGGCGCTCGAGCGACTCACTGCTGCCATCGCCGCCATCGGGGGCGCCCCTGACGAGCTCCCGTTGTCACACGAGGCTGCTATGGTGGCGGAGCAAGAGAGGCTCAGGGCCAAGATCTCGGCCGACGAGCCGATCGGCGCTCGCCCCCACCTCCTCGCCAACCGCTGCACGGCGCTCGAGAAGAAGAAGGAGCGCCAGCTCGCCGCCTTGGACAAGCTCCACGCGCAGATCCACGAGATCCAGACGTCTGTCGCCGAAGCGGAGAAGGCGCTGCTGGAGACGTCCAAGGAGCTTGTGGCCGCGGAGGCGGACAGGCGCAGCGCTGCGGCGCTGGCGCCTCGCCCAGAGGCAGGCGTCCATTCCCTCAAAGCGACGATCCCCGCCCTGGACTTGTCGGTCGCCGATGTTGGCAAGATGCTGGAGGCGATCGGTGCGGATTCGTCGTTGTCCGAGTCAATCCAGGCTAACTTCGCGAAGTTGCGCGAATTCGATGCTGCTGCAGCGGCGCGGAGCCGCACGCAGGAGAGAGCAGCTTCGGCCGAGACGCCTGCCAGCGCCGCGGCGAGCAGCGCAGGTGCAGAGGCTGACGGCGACCTGGCCGAGCTGCAGACCTTCTACCGCGAGGTCTTCGACGCTGAGCCCCCTGGCAGCGAGGAGGAGCTTCGAGGACACATCAAGCGGTTCGGCGAGCAGCTCAGCAGGGCGTCGAAGCGGCCTCGCACCGCCAATAGGTGAGCTGTGCCTGGGCGCCGCGATCCTGCTGCAGCTCCTCAGCCCCGCTGGTGCGATGCCGAGGTGCCACGATGGGCGCGTGCTGCCTGTCCACATGCTCCCGCAGGCGGCCGCCGCCGCCGCGGGAGAAAGGGCGGTCCCTGGGGCAGGGGGCGCGGCCCTTGCTGCCTCGCGTCCTGCGTCTTCGGCGTCTTCAGGGCTCGGCGGCGCGGCTATGGCTGGTGCGTCCTGCGGTGCCGCACTCACCCGTGACGCTGAGGGCGCCAGCAGCCTGGGGCGCCTCACGCGAGCGGGCAGAGGGGTCAGGAAGGCGCCAGCACATCTTCGTGCTGGCCGTGGAGATGCCGGTTTGCTCCAGCAGGCGTCTGCCGCCGCCGCTGGAGATGGGGCGGACCCTGGGGCAGGGGGCGCGGCCCCACTATGCGAAGTGGCAGCTGGAGATGGGCACGCGCCTAAGTTCCACCTGCCAGACTACATGTCTCCGAGGTCTGGCGCCGTGGTGCTCGAGACGTTGGAGGCCCCCTCGTCCAAACCCTTTGTCGCGCGCGGTGATCGAATTTTATCACGCACGGTGCCAGGACGCAGTGACGTCTCAGGCGGGTCGAGCATGCCGGGTCCGATACGAGGAGCGGTTACAGCTAACACATCTTCCCACGGACCGCTGTTAGGTATGCTGAGCAGTCAATGTTTTGATAGTTATCTGGTTCTTGTGCAGGAGCACCACGCGAGAGGCGACCGTTTTGCTGAGTTGCAGCCCAAGGCGGCCGTCAAAGGTTTTCGTGGTGTGTGGACGGAGGCGACTGACACAGGCAGAGGAGGTACATGCGGTGGTGTAGCCGTGATCGCTCCTTCCCACGTTCTGGTCTCAGCCCCTCCTCAGCGCGCTGACCGCGTGCTGATCCCAGGGCGCCTGGTGGCTGCGCACGCCCGCTGGGGCCGCGCAGGCGGCGTCGTCCTGCTCTCCGTGTACTTAGCAGTTGGAGAGGGCCTTGGAGCCCAGAACTTGGAGATTGTGCAGGCGGCCATCGACTACGCCAGCCAGCTGCCGCGCCAGGGCATTGCGTGGGTCATAGGCGGGGGCTGGAACATGGAGGGTGACCTGCTGGACGACTGGTTCCACGCTGCAGGTGCCATTCGAGTGGCGCCCCAGGTGCCCTCATGTGCGCAGACGCTCCCAGGCACGGTGCGCGACTTCTTCTTCGCATCGTTGTCCCTGGCCCCAGCAGTGGCCGAGCTGACCGTCGAGGAAGGGACCGACCTCTTTCCGCGCAAACCCGTTCTTCTTAGGCTGGGCGTGGCGGAGAGAAGCATGTGTCGTCGCGTTCCTGATGAGCCTCAGAAGTTTGGAGCTGAGCCGAAGGTTGGCTGTGCGAGGTTTCCCCCCGTCGAGGAGTGGGCCCAGATCCAGTCACTCATAAGCGACGCAGCGTCGGAAGATGAATTGGCTTCTTGCTGGGACGATGTTCTAGCAGGCATTGAGGCCGAGCTATGTGACCGCAACGACATCGTGAAGGCCTCAGTGCGGCGGAAGTTCTGTGGGCGTGCTGGCCCACCTTCTTATTCGTGGAAGCCGCTGCCGGAGCAAGCCCCCCCTCAGCCGAAGGCGGGGCTTGCGTGGCGCGCTCTGGGCCGATGGTTGCGACACTTGCGCTCGGTCCGCACCAAGTTGTGTCAGCTCGCCGTCGGGTATGCCATCGACCCCGCGGATGAGAGATTGGAGCAGATATCCAAGCAGTTCTATTTCCTTCAGGGGTTTCTGAATCGCATTCGTAAGTCGTATTGGGTGCTGGAGGAGACTACGGAGACCATCAGGGAGTTTTTCGTTGACGTGCCCTCCAGCTTCAGTAGAGCAGAGTCCGACGACGTCGTTCAGGGATTCCTTGATGAGATCGATGTCAAGCTGCATGAGTTTGCTGATGCTTCACGGGCTGACTGGAAGCAGCGGGTCGAGCAGGCCTTTGCCAAGGGAGCAGGAGTTGCGCACAAGTTCTCTCGCGCTCGCGAGGTGCGGGAGCTGATTGCGCAGACGGCTCGGCCACAGCCGTTCCAGCAGGCAGACGACTGCCCCGCGGAGTGGGAGGCGATCTGAAAGACGCACAGTTGCGATCGAGTGGGCCTCCCTAGAGACCACCATGACTGGGAGGCTTTGCCTGGTATCTCGGTCGCCGACCTTCGTCGGGCGCGCGCTTCGTTTCCTAGCAACACCGCCTTGGGCCAGCTCGGTTTGAACCCTAGGTCCATGCTCGCTGTCTCCGATCAGTGCGTGCAATATGTGGCCGATCTTTTCAAGGCCTGCGAGAGGCTCCTGGCTTGGCCTGAGTCTCGGATCCAGGCCCGTTTAGTCCGTTTGCCCAAACCCTCTGGAGGGCATCGGTTGGTTGCGCTTTTGAACTCTCTTCTCCGCGTTTGGGGGCGGGTGAGAAAACTTGTCTCCCAGGCCTGGGAGAAGGCGAATCGTGACCCTTCGTTCTGGGGCCATGGTCCAGGGGCTAGTGCGTCTGACGCCGCCTTTGACCACAATATGGAGGCGGAGGCGGCCACGGCGGTGGGGTCGGTAAGCGTATTCTTGGACATGTTTAAATGCTACGAATGTGTTATCGTAGAGCGACTGTTCGCCGAAGCCAGGAAGGTTGGATACCCGCTTCGGATGATGTGGATGGTCCTTGCATCCTATCGGTGCCCGAGGGTGATCCAGGCGTTCGGTTCTGTGTCGCGGCAGGTTGTGACCAACCAAGGCATCCTTGCAGCATGTAGCCACGCCAACTCTATGATGCACGTGCTCCTTCACCGTGTGATTGTTAAGATGAGGACTCCTTACCCCACGGTCAGGCCCAGGGTCCTAATGGATGATTCCAGTTTCCAGTGGGTCGGTAGGCTGTTTAAGTTTAGTGAGATCTTGCTAGCCGCGGTAAGATGGTATTGCAGCCAGGTCCTCCAGCTGGGTTTAATCCTCCAAGCGGCCAAGAGTGGGTATGTGGCTACGGCGGTGAAAGTGTCGTCTAACCTGTCGTCGTCGGCCCGTCTGGTCAAACTCCGCAGCCATGCCCATATGCGTAACCTTGGCCATGCGTTTTTTTTGCTGGGCGGCCTGTGCGGCCCCAAGAACAGCTCCGTCTCAAGAAATTGTTTCGGCGTCGAGGCAAGTTGGCGGCCCTCCGTCGAGCTGCGCCCAGCAAGGTGAGTCTTTTATGGCGCACTGGGCTTACGCCTGCTGGGTCGCATGGGGCTGGGGTTTCTGGGCTCGCGGATCCGACCCTTGGGACCCTCCGCACCATGGCGGGAACCTTAGTGGGCGCGAAGCGATCTGGGTCCTTGACGGCCTGGCTTGCGACGCAGCCTGACCCTTTGTATGACCCCATATTCGACGCGACTGCGCCGATAGTCCAACGCTATGCAGCTGTAATCTGGAACTCGAGGTTCTCGCTAGGCCGACTCCAAAAAGCGTGGATGGCTGTTAAGGCACGGATCCTCGAGCGGCCGACGTGGAAGCCATGTCGTGGCCCAATTAGCGCAGTGCTTCTCAGCTTGCACCGTGTAGGCTGGTCTATGTCTGCTGCGCACGTGCTGGTGGACGACCGAGGTTTTTCGATTGATCTGTTGCGAACCGCTCCGCTCGATGCGAAGGTGCAGCTTCGGTCGGGGATCCAGAGGTGGCAAGCCAAGAAGATTCTGTCCCACCCCCTCAGGCTGGTTCCGAGCGCTTGTGGCTTCGAGGTGTGCGAATAGCCGTCCTTGAGATTCGCGACAGTGCCCGTCGTGCCGCTCTCCGCTGCTTGATCGGCAATGTCTTGTGGTCGCAAGAGAGAAAATATGAGGTTGGCCTGGGCGACAGCAATACTTGTACTCTGTGCGGCATGAATGTTGCAGGCTCTCTCGGTCACCAGCTTTATGACTGTGACACCGCGTTGAACTACCCAGCGCCCCAGGGCAAATGCATTCCCGATGATGTTCTTTTGCGCAGGTCTGAGCTGAGGGGCACTGGTCGTTCTGAGATGGGCTTGCAGGTCTGGGGCTCTCTTGAGGCCTTGCATGGCCTCCCGCTCGACCCCGTCGCTCTCGACCCTGCCCCTGACAAGCCCCCTGTGTGCACGTGGGGCGAGGCCGAAGCGCCATGGGGGCGGCGCGTCTACACCGACGGTTCGGGGCTGAGCAGCAGCAGCCCCGAACTCAGACGGTGCGGATGGGCCGTGGTCGAGCTGGGCCCTCGTGGGCTCCCGATTCGGGCCCGTTTCGGGGGTTTGCCTGGCGGCACCCAGACTGCGCCTCGGGCCGAGCGGTTTGCGGTTCTCCAGGCGCTTCGAGCCGGCCCCCTGAATGTGCATGTGGTGTCAGACCATTTGAGCGCGGTCCTGGAAGGGCAGTCTTGGGACCCTGGCCCGGCGGCCAGTGGTGGGCGCCGCGCGGCTGTCTGGAGGCAGATATTTCAGCTATATGGTAGCCCTGGTCCCAGGCCGTCTTTCGAATGGACCCCCTCTCACCGTGATTGGGATGATGTGGTCGCGTCGGGATCCGAGGTCGAGGTGCTTAATTTTTTTGGGGAACACCTGGGCCGATTTTTCCGCGCGGATCGGAGCAGACTCCCACGCTGCGGCCCAGACGCTTGAGAAGGTCCAGAGCTCCGTGATCTCTCAGACGCGTCTGACTTTCGATTTTCTGTCCAGATTTGCTCAGAGTATCGGTGCGCGTGCCCAGGAGCTCTCGGCCTCGTCTCCTGTCCCGCGGCGTCGTGAGCGTGAAGGAGAGTGCGGCCTCGCGCTGATCGAGCACGAGCTGCACCACTTCCCGTCTCTGGGGGAGTGGCGATGCAAGCGTTGCAATTTGCGTGCCAAGACCCCCTCCTCCCTCGCCCAACTCCGCTCTGGCAGCCGCCGCCACTGCGGGCCCAGCGCGTTCCAGGCGTGGCAGGCGCAGGCGGTGTTCGTCACGCGGGACGAGGAGGGGGTGGCTTTCTCCTCGGAAGCGGCGCCTGCGGCGATC